GTTGCAGTGATGCACTGAGGCATTTTTAGAAACACAATAAGGAAACTACTACTATTTTTAAGGGGGCCCCTTGGGCTGATGGCCAGAAATAAAAGAACACCTTTAAGGAAAGGAAAGGGTCACACTGTGTCGTACCACCGCCAGATGCATGGTGGAGGTGTTGCTATTCCCACTTCGCAGACAAGAAATAGGGCTCCAGGAAGGTGAGCCAGCTGTCCTGCCCACGGGTGGTGAGGACTCCAAGCAAGCCCCCCATGCACACTTTGCTCCCACTGGCTATTTTTTTCATGTAAATTGTTTTTGATGCATATACAGAAAGTGTACACATCTCAGATGAGTAAGCTTGATGGTTTTTACGAACTGAACACACTGGTATAGGCAGAAATCAAATCAGGGAGAGAGACAAGGCCAGGCCCCCTCATTCCCCCTTCCAATCACTGCTCCCCCAGCATCACCACTGCCCTAGCTTCATCCCCCTGCATGTTTGGTCTCCATACAGCTGAAGCCACATAAAATGTACTTTTCTTTCATTCAAAATTATGTCTGAATGATTTGTCCATGTTTTTTGCACATAATTGTGGTTCCTTCATTTTCACGGCAGATTAGTATTTGACTTTGTGAAGATACACAACTTATTAGACATCCCACTGTTGGTGGACAGTAAAGGTGTTGCCTGTAGTTGTGTGCCTCTGTGCACCTTCGTGTGCGTGCACTTTGGTGAACATGTGTGCACCCAAGAGTAAAACTGCCGGCTATAGGTTCAGCTCTAGGAGGTGTCTCCAGTTTTCCCAAGTGAGCATGCCAGTCTACCCACCCACACGCAGCATTATGAGAGTTCCAGCTGTTCCATATCCTCACCAACACTTGCTACTGTCTCATTTTCATTTTAGCCATACTGGCTGGCATCTCATAAAGTCACGTTATAGTGTTAATTTATACATCCCTGATGATTCAGAAAGTTGAGCACATTTTCATATATTTATTGGCCTTCTGTGTGTTCACTTTGGCAAACAATAAATCCTTTTTAATTTTATCTTTAATCAGAAAACATTTCTGAGAATGCCTCCCATGCTGGAAAATTGTTTCTTTTCCCACCTGGGTGATCATTTCTAAACCTTGACATCTGACAGTTCTAAGAAGTTCCAAAGCCAAGGGAGGTGAAAAGGAGGAGTCGGAAGGATGGCCCCAGCCAACACTGGGCAGCCTCAGAGCTCTGGAGATTCCACAGCTGCACCAAAGGCTTTCTCTGTGCCCTATGGGATTGCCCTGCAGTCATCAGAAATTAGAGAGATGATTGATATTTCTCATTGAGATGTAAAGACGTGCTCTGAACTCCAGCCCCTCCTTTCTCTCTTCCTTTGGAGTTTGGGCTCTGGATTGATTTCAGTGACTGCAGAGGGATGAAGATAAACGGCCCTCTTTCCTTGTGTTCTGCTCCTAGTCGGGCAGGGCACACACAGGGAGCTGGGTTTCTGACAAGTTCTGCATTTAGAGCCCTGAGGACCTAGTATGTGCCTAGGGCATCAAAGTGATTAACAAAGCTCTTAAGCTTTGACAATGGTCGTCAAACTTTAACAGCTCAAAATTTTCCTAATATAAAATGCAAGCCCATCTCCCATCAGAGAAGGAACTGCTTGTCTCCCAGCCACAGCCTATCTTTTTAACAGTCCCCCAAGCTCTTCTTCACCAGGGGCGACCAAACAGACCCCTGGATGTGAAGGAGAACACAGCTAGAAGTGGTGTTTATCGAACACCTACACTGTGCCGGGCACTGTACTAAGCACTTCACACCTTCAAACTCATGCCCTGTTCTCAGGGAGTTTGCAGGAGAGGAAGTGCAGAGCTAGAGCAGAAATGCTGCTCAGTGAAAGCAATGCACTTCAGTAGCTTCCAACAGCCATAGAGGAGATGCCTCAGAGCAGCAAGTCAGCTCATTTATTTAACAGACCACTAGGTCATCCCCCGGTAACAGGGTCAGGCTGGGGGCCGTGGGTCCTAAAACAGATGGGTCAGGGTCCTGTCCTTTAGGAAGTTCACAGTCTCCTTGTTACTAATTCATTGTTAAATGAATGAAACTGAAAATCCACACTGTGTTGGTCTGAAGGGAGAAAGAGGGCACTCCAGGTCGGGGTGGGGCCAGTGCAGTGTGTGCAGGCTGTGGTGTGTCCCTGGCCTGCTGGCAGCAGGGACCAGCATTCCTGAGCTCCCACTACATACTGTGCCCAGGCACAGGGCACCTGTCATTTCCTTTAATCCTCTCTGCAAACCTGCAAATCTTTGCTCTGCTTAACAGATGGAGAAATGAAGGCTCAGAGTAACCTTCACACAGGCACAAACTTACCGGTGGCAGAGCTGGAACTGAAAACCAGGAGCTCCAAAGTCCTGGAGGCCCCAACCAGCTGGGCCCAAGGAGGAGGGGTCTGACACAGCCCCAAGGAACATGAGTATGGGATTATGGCTGGTGGGCATCCATGTTGGGACGAGTGGGATTCTTGGTCTCAGGGCAACCCGTTTAGGTGGGTGCGGACTTCATGGCAGAAGAGGCGGCAGCGGTGAGCTGGGAAGTGGTTGGAGACAAAGAGTAAGAGCCTGTGTGTAGACTGTGAGCCTGGGAGACAGGTCACCCTCTCCTTCACTTCTGCCCTTAAAGCAACCTTCTCTGTTTGCATGGTGCTTAAGGCAGGCAGCATGCAGCTCCAAATACAGGTTTTGGGGATGTGTGATTCTGAACAAGCGTCTCACTTCTCTGAGTTTCAATTTCCTTTTCTCTGTAGTAGCCATGGTCACATTTAAATGAAGTAAGCCTCACAGAACAAAGGGGACAGAACAGATGCTCAGTAAATGTGATTAAGACATATGACAGTTGCCTGGGTTCAACTCCTGGCTTTGCCACTTACCAGCTATGTGTCCTTGGGCAAGTGATTTACCCTCTCTGTGTTTTAGTTTCCTCCTCCTTAAAATGGGGATAATTATAATAGTTCTTAACCCAAGAGGTTGTTGTGATATGAATTTGATACATGCATTTACATGAGTTGATATAAATAAAGAGGTTAGCCAGTGCCTGGCCACATAGCAAACCTTCAATAAACAGTAGCTGCAATCACATTTTATCCTTCATGTTGCCTGGCAGGTAAGTAACATTTGCTCATTAAATAAGGACTATTGGTTCTCTTTCTCCCCAACACCCAGTGGTACTGTAGCAAGCACTGGTGCTTTAGGAACTAAAAGGAGGTCATGGAAATTTGCAGTGAGGAAGTCAGTGTGCAATAACACCTGGGAGGTGCTGATGGGAGGATTTGGGTTGGGTGGGGGAGGGAGTGCAAGGTTGGATCAGAGTCGCATGGAGGACAGGGAAAACGGGAGCTGGGTGCAGGAGTGTTGCTAGGGGAGAGATGGCGCCTTGAGGAGGGTGTCAAGTACTGGCTTAGGCACGGAGACCATGTAACCGTGTGACTGGGGGTGAGTGATCTGCCTTATGGGCCTGAAAAGAGGGGTTGCCTGGGATTCCCTAGCCAACGGCAAGGGTTTATATGAGGATCAGAAGCGGATACAGAGGGGAAAGTGTTTAAAACTGCTAGTGCTCTGTGCAGATTTAATACCACACAGTCTCGCCTCAAGTGAAGGAGAGCTGGAGACACTCCCGTGCACCAGCCAAGTCCCGCTTTTGTTTTAATGTCTCTTATTTACCTTCGCAGCTCTGGCACATGAAAATTCCTGTAAAACACATTCTTGACCACCTTCCCATCCTTCGTGATATTATTCCTGTTACAGCTCTGTGTTAGTACTTACCACTTACAGTTTCATTGTATCTTAGCACATTACAGACAGCTGTTAAAATGTCACTTGTTCTGTTACCAAGAAAAGTGTTGAGATGCAGCTTTAGGCCTCCAGCGTGTTCCCACAGGCTTGAGGAGGCCCGGCCCGTGGACGCTGTGTGAGGCCACACGTGACCACCAGCGTCTTCACTCCCAATCCCACCGGCACTGCTCCTCTCCCTCCAGACCTCGCAGTCTGTCCTGTTTCATGCCTCTCTGCCTATGCCTGTTCTCTCTTCCTAGAATACCTCTCCCAACTCACATCACATAAAACTCCTATTCACCCTTCAAAACCCCATTCATGTACCCTCTCTTTGAAGCTTTCAATGGCCCTTCCATACAGGAGCTGCTAGGTGTCTGTCCCTGTGCTTTAAGAATTACTGCATATGTATTTATTGCATAGATATATTATTCTCTATTCCAATTATTCACCTGTTTAAACTCCCAGACCACTTGCCTTTCTCCAATTCGAGGGATGCCTCTGGCCTTGGCTCAGTTATCTCTGTATCCCTGGGTCCAATCACAGGGCCTGAAAGAGAAGAAGAGCTTAATAATTGTGTCTGCAGTGAACTTCATGAGGCTTGGCTCTGTGTCCATGGGTTCCATGAATTTTAAGTTATGGATGTTTCCAGAACTACGGGAGGAAAATGCATCCCTCTGCTGACTATCAAAGAAAGCTATACAGGATTCAAAGACATTTAAAAGAGTCTCCCCAACCTAACCTGTTTCTAAGAGGAAGCCTCTTTTAGGTCCCCCTAGGTCAGCCACTTCATTTCTATCAAGCCCTATGGTGAGAAAGCAATTTTTCACACCAAGAAACACCAGAGACAGAACTTTCATGGGGCAATATTTACCCATGCTGTGGGCATTGTTCTCCATTTTCTCTTTCCTTTTCTCTCTTTTTATTTATTTTTTCTTTCTTTCAATTGCTGGTCACCCACTGCATTCATTTCACCATTTTTAAATCTAATCAGTTGCATCCTACAGTTTGAAAACAGAAAAACTAAGCCTTCAGCTAACATAACCCAAGGATAACATGCTTCCCAGAAGAGGAGCCCCGAGCCCCGGGCCCTGAAAGTCACCTCGGAGGAGCAGGCGGGCTGGCCGTGTGCACTGTGGGTGGAGGTGTGGTGAGGTGTGAGGAAGGCACTGGCGAGACTCTAACCCACTTCCCTTTTGTTGCAGCCGAGCCCCTGCCGCTGATGGACCTGTGCCGGAGATCCATCCGCTTGGCCCTGGGCCGCCAGCGCCTGCGGGACATCGGCACCCTGCCTCTGCCTCAGTCTCTCAAAAACTATCTGCAGTACCAGTGACCTGAGTTGGGGGGCGCTGATGGGCAGCAGTGGGCACTCCGCAGGCCCCGTCTGTCATTTCAAGGTCACAGAGAACTTTCAGGAAGGCATCTTCCTCCACAACCTGGTTCCCCAGAACTTTCAGTGCTTTGAAAGGCCAAGACACGTTCCCGACTTCAAAAATGAATGTCTGTTGCCAACAGTATTTGCTGCCTTAGAAGCAGCTCTCCCGAGTCTCCACACCTCCTTGGAAGCCACGAAGAACCCCAGGGCCTCTGCCTGCCGACCAAGATTCAGCAGCCACCGTTATTGATCAGAGATCCTGTTTCCATATTCAAGAGAATGAATAAAACATTGGGGCAGGAGACTTTCTGTTGTGTGCCTGCTGCAGACGGGGCCGGCGGCGGGGGCGGGGGGGCGGGGGGGCGGGGGGGAGAAAATTGCTTCTGAATAATGAATGGTGAAAACAGTTTGCTGCATCCCCTCCCGTACCCCACCCCTTGTCGGGGCAGCCCAATTGTCGTGATACTTTAGGATTGTGCCCTTTGAACTGACAAGTGGACAGAACAGTGTTTGGACACCATCCAGCTTACCTCTTTGAAAGTCGTTTACTTACCCTTGTCACAGTCCTCCTTCCCCACCCTGACCCACTGTTGGCCCCAGGCACCTCTCTTCAGGGAAGCTGAGTCTCACTAATTCATCCCAGGGACAGAGTGTTTCTTTTATTATTATTTTAAGTAGCAGTTGCATTTTAGAAGAGGAGTGTGGTGAGTGAGGGCAGTACTTAGTCCAAAGGTGCTAATGGGGGGATTGAGGGCCTTGGGACACCCTAGTGGCTGATGCCTAAGGAGCCCTCCTGGGTGCTGAGGGTCTCTAGGCAACCAGCCATACAGGGTGCAGCCTGGTGGCCACAAAGCTTTATTTGAGCGAATTATTTTTTCACTTTAGGAGACTTGTACTAGTTTGTTTCTATTTGACATGTGTGTGTGATGTGCTGTTTATTTATCACCTTGGGGCCCCGGCGTGGGGGGGTGGGCAGCCTTGTCGCCGGAGGGTGGTTGTGGGAGGCACCTTCTACTCCGCTCAGAGCCTGGTCCTTTCCTGGGAACACTGCTGCCGCCGCCGCCACCGCTGGGCATCTCCCGTGTGTTTCCAACACTCTCTGCCCATTCTCATTTTTAACTGGAAACTGTCACAGCAGTGGAATCCCAGAGCCCCAGACGGCACTGCCTCCCCCTACTTTAATGTGAACTTGACTGATGAATGAGGAGCGTTTCTAATAAAGTTTGTCATTCAGTCCTTCAGCTGCTTATTAAATGCTCTTTGGGGAGGGGCCAAGGGGGCCTTTTCTGTCAGCCTGGCTGGTGTGTCCCCAGACTCTCAGAAGGCAGGAATGTGATTCCCTCTTCAAACACTCCTCATCTCTCCTGTCTCCTTGTCTCCACTGAGCCCAAATTCTGGCCACTTTACAAAGGCCCACTGTGGAAGGGTGAATGGGCTGGGGTCCTGGGCCCATGCTAAGCTGGCTGCAACGGTGGTGGAAGAACAGGTCAAACTCCTGATGCCAGGGCTCTGATGTCCAAAGGGTCGTTCTGCAGGGGACACAGGGTCAAGCAGGGTAAACCCTAAAGGACAACCATTTCAAAGCAGACCAAATGGTGGGGCTGAACATGAACTTGGAAGTGCGCATTGTCACCGAGGAGCAGTGCAAATTGCTGAAGGGTCAATGTGTGGCCTGGCCAGGCTCAGGGCTGGATGCAGACTGGGAGCTGGTCAGGCTGGGGGACGGACGGGTGAGGACTGGCACAGCATTCCCTCAGCCATGTGGGCCACCAGCACGTACTGTGCCAACCTCTGAGGACCCAGCGCTCACGCAGATATAGCCCATCCCCAGGGGTGACACAGTACAGCTCACCAAGGGCCTGAAGGGGAGGCTTCCTGGAGGAAGAGGCTCTCTCCACACCTGCTTTAGGGAAGACCACCTCGGTGAAGGCAGGCCCCTAGAAGCAGCCATGCTGTGGGCCACCAGGGGCAGTGTTCTTCCACCCTCTGACCTGGGGTGAGGCTGGGCTCAGGCTCAGGCAGGTTTTCCTCATTTAGGTTGTGGGAAGCAGCTTCCTGCAGAGGCATGGCCTCAGACTTAGGGGTCAGAGCCCTGGGTGTGAGTCCCAGCTTTATCACTTACACACTGTGACTTTGGGTAAGTTGCTTCCTCCTGTGCACACTGTGGGGACTGACCAGTGGGCCAGTGACTGAGGACCCTTCCCCTTCTGCCTCATTGGGTCCCAGGTTCAGTACCAGCTCTCCACATTGCATGCATCCTTCTCAGCTCGGCTTCCATGCCTTACAAATGCAATTTCTTTCACCCTGGCAATGCCCATCTCATCCTCACTTCACCCTCTCCAGGATCAGCTAAGATCAACCCTCCTCCAGGGAGCCCTCCTTAACCACCCACCAACTTCTGAGAGTCAGCTCCTCACCTCCCAGCCTGAGGATGCTACTCCTGGCACCCAGGACCTTCTCCCAAACTCTCTGCCCTGTGGCCTCATCTGTCCAGTGGGCTGTGAGCCTTGGAAGGTGGGGCTTGGACATGCTTCTTCCCACACAGCCCTGAACCTTCAAGGTAGAAAAATGAGTGAAAGTGCCCCCTTGTAGCTGGGTTGCCCATGGAACTTTCAAGGAAAGTTCTGGGTGGGTGAAGGGAGGATGTCCTGCTAGAGCCAAGAAGTTGACCGCGAGGCCTCAGGCTTCATGCCCTGTCACTCCCTCAGCCACTCTGCAGGTATGGGTTAGGTCTGTGGGTGTGCTCAGCACTGCCTCAGGACAGGAAGAGGGAGGTCTGGCCCTGCCCTGTTGGAGCTCACGTTCTAAGGGGGAGACAGACGTCACATCAACTAAGATGGTGTCAGAGAGAAGACATGGGGTACCTAGAGAACAGGGAGCAGAGGGACCCCATTCTTGAGAGTGATCGAGGAAGGCCTCAGGAGATGCTGAGTTCTGGAAGATACATGACAGACTGTGGGTGTGGGGGGACCTCTGGGTGGGGGAGCTTCCCACTGTCCCACCCTCAAAGCAAGAGCTTTTGAGCTCAGTAAGCTGAGCCGAGGTCCAGGGCCACTGCACTGCCACTCTGCCCCAAGTTCTAGTTCAGTGTGCTTGTTTATATGCTATATGTCTCCAGGGCTCCTCGTGTATTAGTATTGCCTGTGCACACACACATGCACAGACACAGAAACACAAACACACACAACACACACCACCAAAGGGCTTTCCCTAGCAGACACCCTGGGAGCCTCACGACCACTCCTAGGGCCAGTGCCCATCGTAACCTGGCCTCAGCCTGTCCCGTCCTCTGCGTGTGTGCTGAGGTTTGGCCTCTCTCCATGACCTGTTTCTGATGAAGGTACTTGCTGAAACAGTCCACTAATCACTTTTTGTCTGAGAGTAGAGCGCGTGGTGGACAGGGTGCCCGGCAGACCTGAGCCCTGCTGAGTTCCCCGTTTCACACTTCACCCGTAGCTCTGCTTTCTGAATAAAAGCCATCCCTCCTTCCCTTGTTTGCTCCCCTGTCACTTGTGCAGCAACTGGCTGCTTTGGGGGCCACCTTCCATTAACAAACAAATATTTCATCACCTCTCGATGATACAGCCGCTGGTGTGGCAGCAGGTAGCGAGAACACAGTCACGTGGTGATTGGTTTGTGCCCGGGCAGCTGCGTCAGGGCCTCGCTCCTCCGGGGCAGCCTCCTGACAGGAGGCTCAGGTGTCTGCAGGAGTCCGGGTGGTGTTACCTACTCCTCGGGTCCCTGACAGAGTGGGAATCTCCACTTTTCATCCAAAATGCAAAGACTTGGTCTGCTCTTCCCTCCAGTTCTGGGGGCCTGGGTCCCACTTCAGTCTGCCAACATGTTTTCCGCTCCTCATCACGTGTGTGTGTTTTAATAGAATTGAACCCAACTCAGAAAAATCAAGTAATTTCACAGAAAACCCAGATTTCTGACGTATCTTGAAAGAGAGAGATGTGGTAAGACCAGGCCCACATGCCTTCATGGCAATGTTGGCCAAGTTCAACAGGGACCACCCCTTGAGTAGGGGCCTCTGTGCGGTGGTCCAGCCCTCTCATGGCACCAGCCTCGGGCCGTCTCAGGGCCAAGCTCTCTCATGGGCTTTAACTGCTGGGGTCTGGGTCAAGGCTTCTGAGTTGGACCCTTTGGACTATAACTGTAATACACATCAGAGGATAATAAATATGCACACAAAAACCCCAGCCAACAGAGGGTTCGGGGGGAATCTGCTAGATCTAGACTTGACTTCGAAGCATCTCAGAGCCTCAGCCACTGAGGAGTTCATAGTCACCCAGGATCTCCACCCAAACACCAGAGATAGTTTTCTGTGTCTCTCGTTGAACAGTAAACTCCTAGGAGTCAAGGACAAGAATCCTTTGGTCCTCTTTTTAATGAGCTGTATGACATGGTTAGACAAGCCTAGTTGCACATTAAAATCCCTTAAGGAAATTTGTAAAAAGCCCTAGCACCCAGGCCCTTCCCCAGACCAATTAGATTCAGTCCTCTGGGCTGGAGCTGGGGCCTTGGTAGCTTTTAAAGCTCCCCAGGTTATTCTGACGTGCAGCCCCAGTGAATAAGGTGCTTAATTAAGTCATGTCAGTGGAGATGCTGTTGCTGTTAGTGAGAATGTACATTCCAGGCCAGAGAAAGCTGCCCCAGCCCATGTAGTGTTACCAGGGAAGGGGGGATTCTGAGTGGCAATGTCCCCAGTGTGATTAAGTCTAAAGCCAGCGGGTCCTTCCTGCCTTCGGTGATGCTGAGCTGGTTACTCTCCAGAGCTAGGGAGGAAGGACCGGCCACTTCTGCCCTGATGCTGCACAATTCTTGACTAACCGATTCCTGTCCTACCCACCCCCTGACCGGTGGGGCCCGAGGTGTGCGGAGAATCTCCCAGAGGACACTGTCATAATCAATCAGAATAATAAGCACGGAGCAGACTGAAAATGGTTTGGCCTTGACTGGACTATTCTGAATAGCAGTTGAGACAGTGAGATCTAACTGCAAGAATGGCTGCATTCCTCATATTTCTGGCCTTGCTTCCTTAAGCAAGATGATGCATTTGGCCAGTAAGAATAATGCTTCCCTCGATTCTCTGATGGGTTTTGGGAGTAGATAAGCCAGTGACAAGCCAACCCTGACTTGATGACAGTGTCCTCACCTGCTTTGTCTACCCAACAAATGGGGCTCTTTTCCGATAAGCAGCCCTGGTGTTGGCTGAGCACCCAGCCCAGTCAGCAAGTGTGGGAGGGGCCAGGGTATGTTATTTCTCATTCTTTCAACCAGCGCCGAGGCCTCAGTAACACTGTCGCGGTGCCTGAG